CTGCTGATATCTTCACTAAGGCACTTGCGCCTTGTGATCATCAGCGTCTTTTTACTCAGCTTGGTCTTGTGCCTGCCTTGCCTCACTTGCTCACTTCTTGACCTTGCTTGTACTGTCGCATATATATACTCCTGCTCTTGCTTGTTTAGCCTTTTCTATATATATGTGCTCCTGCATGTGAACTGGCCTTCTGGCCTTGAACTTGTGCTCGGAATGTGTGGTGACTTTGTGATCCACCCTGAGCTTTGCTTTGTTCTACTTGACTGGTCTTGTGACCCCTTGTTCTCCCCCACTTTGCCTATGGGGGTGTGTGAAATCATAATGTTCTGTAGGCTGTTGTGGGGTAGCCTATATGGGGTACACATTTCTAGGGTTGCATAATTGTACCACATTCCATTCCTTAGTGCATTCATTCTCGTTTCAGTTTTCTCAAGAGAGTGCGGCGACATCGACAAGGTGTCAGCAACTCACGACGATTGTCCTTTCAAAGCAACATTTCGGGCGAATCGAAGTGGTTTTCCAGCGGGAGGCGGATGCGGCTTTTATGCGAAGCAGGGAGATCGAGCATTACACGGCAAACGAGAAGAAACTTACGCTCGGCTAGCAGCATCCGGAAAACAAGCTGTATCTGAGGGAGAGAGCTGCTCACCTGGAGGCAATAGAGGTGCTGCTGAAGGGGGTGCCGGCGGTGATCTCACCTGAGATGATTAAGAAGAATCTGGTGACGGCGATGCTGTTGAAGGGGGGTGGTACGGCCTTCCGCGACGGCTCCGCCTTTCATCGCGTGCTGGACCTGGTCTCAGGGTCGGATACTGACAAGATAAAGGGCCTGGTTTTCAGGCACCCGGGGGATAAGTATAAGTGGTGGCACAGGGTCTCCGACCGTGTCCACGGAATCGAGCTTTTGGTGTCGTTCGTTGCACTCACATGTGTTTTCTGCAACGGAATGCATATGTCGTGCTTTCATGATGACTATGTGAAGGAGAGGCAGAATAACATCGGAAACTGGAATCTGCCGCTGCAGCGGGCTCACGAGATCAATGGTAACACTTTCTGTTCTCACCTTGTCTTTCAGGACGCTGCAGCTGCAAAAGCAGACCTCCCAGCTCACCTCTGTCTCATCTTCCCCGCGAGCAGCTGCTTCTCTGAAGCTATCATCGGTTTTGAAGACCCTGCTGGCAGACCTGGCGATAGCCTTGATTTCTACTGGAGGTGTCCGAGAGGAGTGGTTGTGTACGCAAGAGGATTGCGGGAAGTCACATGGAGCCAGTTTTGAGAAGGCGGTGGAGCATGTGCAGTCAGTCCGCCATGGCACCGGACTGCTCAAGGCGGGAGCCGCGACGCGTCTGAGCAAAGCGAAGCTGAATCTAGCACAGGCCAGAAAGGAGTACGGAGTGTGACTGATCGGCCGATGTCATGCCTGGAACCGGAGGTAGTACCTGCAAGTCACGGAGTGGTTGGAATAGCATCAGCAGAGGAAAGTGTTGTTTGTAATTCTCTTAATATAGCCCGTGGATGCGAGGGGCTCCTTACCAAGTGGATTAATGGGTAACAAGCCAGTACTCACCACCTGCGGGGTCAACGTGAATGGCCTCGGCGGTAGCGGCAAACGAACCAAGAACAGGAGATGGCTACGCACAGAAGCGGATACCATGGTGCTATCTGATACAAGGATTAGGGAGGACCATAACTTCTGGAACGAGATCAAACCAGCGGCGTGGGTTGCGGTCGGTCCGAGCAAGGCGACGGGAGGGGGTTGCAGTGATGACCTTCAGCAGACGCATTCGCTTCTCCGACGTGGTGCCAGATCCGTCTGGAAGGCTGCTAGGGGTGACAGTGGAGGGGGGTGAAAGAGCCGTTCAGATTAGTCGTGGCATATCTCCCAACGCAGGCCTGCAACGGGGCGAAATTTCACACGGAAAATTTACAGTAGTTCATACAAGCGCAGCCGCAGACCAAACACCTGGTGGTCGTGGGGGACCTGAACATGGTTGCGGATCCTGACCTGGACAAGTCGCCTGGAGCCGGGTCTGGTAGAGAAAACCAGAGATTTATTGACGCCTGGCAGGGACATGACCTTCGAGATGCCTTCCGCGCTCTGCATCCCACGGAACGATAGTACACCTTCCGGGTGCGGGCCACGCAGACGAAGTCCCGCATAGACAGAGCTCTGGTGTCGGTGTTGTCAGAACATATATGTAGCTTATGCTGTTGTGTAGGCTACAGTGGGGTATACCATAGGGGGTACAACCCAATTAGGGTTTTGCTATTTGTACTCACTTCACTCATAGTTCATTCATTCTCGTTCTATTTTCCACATGGTATCGAGCAGGTTCCCCCGTGGGAACTGTGCTTAGGGCCCACCACTTTTAAACTTTTTTTCTGCCCGGAGCGCGCTCCGGGCCCTCGCTCTCACTCTTTCGGCCTGCCCTACGGCCCCCTAGCCGCCCTCGCGCGCCCGTTCTGGCCCCTAGCCGCTCGCGCGCCGCCCGTTCAGGCCCCTAGCCGCCCGCGCGCCGCCCGTCCCGGCCCCTAGCCGCTCGCGTGCCGCCTGTTCAGGCCCCTAGCCGCCCGCGCGCCGCCTGTCCCGGCCCTTAGCCGCCCGCGCGCCGCCCGTCCCGGCCCCTAGCCGCTCGCGCGCCGCCCGTTCAGGCCCCTAGCCGCCCGCGCGCCGCCCGTCCCGGCCCCTAGCCGCTCGCGCGCCGCCCGTTCAGGCCCCTAGCCGCCCGCGCGCCGCCCATCCCGGCCCTGAGCCGCCCGCGCGCCGCCCGTCCCGGCCCCTAGCCGCTCGCGCGCCGCCCGTTCAGGCCCCTAGCCGCCCGCGCGCCGCCCGTCCCGACCCCTAGCCACCCGCGCGCGCCCGTCCCGGCCCCTAGCCACCCGCGCGCGCCCGTCTCGGCCCCAAGCCGCCCTGTGCCGCCCGCCCCGGCCGCGCTCTCCTGTCTCGGCCCCTCGGCGCCAGGACGCCGCCCGTCCTGGCCCCTCACCCGTCCCGGCCTCACACCGCCCGTGCGCCGCCCGTCCCTGCTGCACGCCGCCGTCCCGGCCCCCCCCACGCCGCCCGTTAGCCGCCGTGCAGCCTGAGCCGCCCGAGCCGCCCGAGCCGCCTCCCCCCCCCCCCCCCTTTTCCCGTCGCCTGTCGAGGCGACCTGAGGGGGCCGCTTGCAGCTGAGGGGTGGCAGGTGTGTGGTCTCCCCTGCTTCTCCTCCTCCTTCGTCTCGAGCCGCCCTGCAGCCGAGCCGCCTCGCCGCCGAGCCGCTCTACACCCGAGCCTCTGAGCAGCCGAGCTGCCCTACAGCCGCGCCGCCGGGTCGCCGAGCTGCCGAGCTGCAGTTGCTGCCGAGCCGCTCTGCCGCCGAGCCGCCCGAGTCGCCCGAGCCGCAGAGCCGCCGTGCTGCCGAGCCGCTGAGTCGCCGAGCCTACTCTACCCACCACTGATGCAGCCCCATCGACGTCTGCGTGAGTCCCTCACGCCCCAGCAGCTGCGTGAGTGGTACGCTGGTTGGGGCTGTAGGGGTGGTGGCGCTACTACTGCTACCACTCCTGCTGCTTCTACTACTGGTGGCGGCCAGATGCAGCTCCCGCGACCCCCCCGCGCATCTCTCACGCCTCAGCAGCTTCGTGAGTGGTACGCTCAGAGTAGAGGGTCTCTCAGTTCTGTTCGATGCTCTTACGTGATTCTCACTGGTGCTCGGACTGGTCAGCCTTGTGGGACACCTGGTCATACACAGTCCCGCTGCTTCGCCCGTCTGAGCGACGCCTGGCGTACCGTGTTTGGCGACGAGGCTGAGCTCCCCGACTGGGTGGAGTTGCTTAGGCAGAGGGTAGATATATTTGCTCTTGACTATGATGCTATTCTCACTGCCATGTATGTATTGCGCTACCTGTGCAGTACGTCCGGCATGGGGCTAGTGCTTGGAGGGCGGAGTCTAGTGGTACTTACAGGTCACGCGGACGCTTCTTGGGCTGACGACCAGGCTACGCAGCGGTCGTCACAGGGTTACACCTTCAGCCTTGGCTCCGGCTCTGTCTCGTGGCGGGCTACTCGCTCGTCTTCGGTTCTCAGCTCGAGTTGTGAGGCTGAGATCTACGCAGGGGCCATGGCTGCACAGGATCTTCGCTGGCTCACCTACCTGCTGACTGACCTTGGAGAGCCGCCTCGTTCTCCTCCAGTGCTGTACGTAGACAACAAGGCCATGCTGGCCTTGTGTCGAGAGCAGCGTCTGGAGCACAGAACGAAGCACATTGCTCTTCGCTACTTCCTTGCTCGTGAGCTACAGCAGCGTGGACAGTTGCGGCTTGCGTACGTGGCCTCTGAGGCCAACACTGCTGATGTGTTCACCTAGGCACTCGCGCCTTGTGACCATCAGCGCTTCTGCACCCAGCTGGGTCTTGTGCCTGTCTTGCCTCACTTGCTCTCCTCTTGACTTTACTTGTACTGTCACATATATATACCTGCTCTTGCTTGTCTAGCTTTATATATATATGTGTGTACTCCTGCATGTGAACTGGCCTTGTGGCCTTGCTCTTGTGCTCGGACTGTGTGGTGACTTTGTGATCCACCCTGAGCTTTGCTTTGCTTTGCTTGACTGGTCTTGTGACCCCTTGTTCTCCCCCACTTTGCCTATGGGGGTGTGTCAGAACATATATGTAGCTTATGCTGTTGTGTAGGCTACAGTGGGGTATACCATAGGGGGTACAACCCAATTAGGGTTTTGCTATTTGTACTCACTTCACTCATAGTTCATTCATTCTCGTTCTATTTTCCATAGGTGTCGCTGCTCGGCAACCTGGAGGGGGCTCGCCATGTGGAGGTGCCAAGGATTTTGTCGGACCACTGGTTCGCCATCAAGATTCGTCCAAAATTTGTGTCAGAACGTGCTTATGGACCGGGACTCTGGAGATTCCACGAAACACGGCGGAAAAAGAAAGGGGTGAGAAAGGTGATTTAGTCGATTAAGGAGGCGCTCAGCCGGTCGGGCCGAGAATCACTGGAGGTTATGCTATCAAGGCTAACGACGGGTTTACGCGCGCACGAGAGGGAAGAGAGGAAGCGGGTAGCGGCGACACAGCTTCATCTTACGGAGGAGGTTGAACGGATGCGTCACCTGGTCATGGGGGGGCCAACAGATGACAAAACAAAGGCGGTGTTGCTGACCAGGGAGGAGCAGCTGGAAGCCTATCGGGAAAATGAACGCGAGAGGCTGGAAGTTTTTGCGGGGATGACGACAAAGCTGCAAGGGGAGGTCCATTCCCCCTACCTGTCGGCCAAAGTCAAGATGCGGAAGGAACGGACCCTGATAGAAGAGGTGATGTACAAGGGGGAGAGGTGCAGGGGGTGACAAGCGGTGCTCAAAGCGGCATCATCCCACTTCGCAGAAGCTTTCACGGGAGCCCAAGCGGGGCCGGAGTCGGTAAGGGAAGATTTTACGGTGGATCGGGTGATGCCGGCAGAGGCGGTGTTAAGCTCAAGGCCCCGTGGTCGGAAGCGGAGGTTAAGGCGGCGCTGGCCGGGTTACCGAAGGGGAAATCGCCAGGCCAGGACGGACTCCTGGCAGAACTTTTTGTGACCCACTGGGACCTGCTGGGGGGATGCTTCATGAATTTTGCAAGAGACTTTGAGTCGACGGGAAGACTGCCGGAATCAATGACTACGGCGCTGACAGTCCTGCTGCACAAGAACGGGGAAAAAGACCTGCTGTCAAATTACAGGCCGATCACGCTCCTCACGACGGTGTACAAAGTACTCGCGAAGGTGCTTGCAAATAGGCTGAAGCTGGAACTGCACCACAAAATTTCAAAAGAGCAGCACGGATTCTTACTAGGCCGCAGTTTGGCGGATGCGGTGGCAGTGGTGGCAGATGCGAATGAGGTGGCAGACAGCAACGGGGAGGACTGGTACCTCCTGTTTGTTGACTTCCAGAAGGCCTATGACACGGTGTCAAGGCCGTTCCTCTTCAAAACACTGGAGAAACTCGGTTTGCCGCCGCATATTATCAGGTGGACAGAAGGCCTGCACGCGGGGGCCGGGACGAGGCTGGCAGTCAATGGATGGATAGGAGAACGGGTGGAGATGCAAAGAGGAGTGCGGCAAGGTTGCCCCCTCGCACCCTACTGTCAGTAGAGCTACACTGTGAGATCCCCGATCGATCCTAGGGGGGGTTACAGGCGCGTTTGCCTGGGGGGTTATGGGCGCACTGACCCGCTACTGAAACAAGCCCTTTTATCCCAGTGGTCTAGTGGTTGGGATTCTGACATGGTATCAGAGCGGTCTTGGGTTCGAATCCCGGTGTATGCACATGTTGGCCGTTGCCACTGTGCTCAGTCCTGGGCCTCCCAGTGTGGGGGGGTGTCAGTAGAGCTACACTGTGAGATCCCCGATCGATCCTAGGGGGGGTTACAGGCGCGTTTGCCTGGGGGGTTATGGGCGCACTGACCCGCTACTGAAACAAGCCCTTTTATCCCAGTGGTCTAGTGGTTGGGATTCTGACACCTACCTCTTCCTCTGTGCGTTGGAACCGCTCTGCGCTGAGATAAGGAGGCGTGACCTGGGAGTCCGAGCGGACGGCGGTGACGCGGTGTCGTATGTGGGATACGCATACGACACCTCTCTTATCCTCAACGGGGAAGCACAACTGCACTCGGCGGCGGCCGCTCTTGACTGGTTCGGGGAGCTGTCAGGTCTGCGCATCAAGAGAGACAAGTCGATAGTCATGCCGATGGGGAGGAACAAGGGCAGGACGTAACTGCCTGGTGTTACCTTCAAATGGCCCGACACCGGAGTCCCTGAGAGGCTGCTTGGCATCTGGGTAATGTCGAATGGTGACCCCGCGCCTTCCTGGAAAAAGGCATGGGAGAGCGGGAGGAAGGAGCTGGCGAAGTGGGAGAGTTAGCATTTATTGACGGCGGCGAGAGTTACAATCATCAACAATTATATCATGCTGATTCTGCTCTTTCAAGCGCAGATCTACCCGCCACGGGAGGAGTTATGGGGGAAAATCCGGAAAACCTGTGACAATTACGTCTCAAAAGGGGAAGCAACGATAGAAAATATTTTTGTCCTCTGGAGCGGGGAGCTGGCCCGTTTGCCAAAGAAGGAGGGGGGCCTGGGGCTAATTGACCCGAAGGAACGGTTGGACAGCCTAGCGATTCGAAATTGGGGAAGTTCCAGACGGAGCAGGATGTCACGAAGCGGTGGCTGACGGAGAAAACGACGGCTCTGTCGTAGGGGGTGGCGACCTTCTTCGCTCACAAGTCAGCCGGCAGGCACTTGGACAAAGGAAGCCGGAGGTGGAAGGCGATAGCAGAAGTTTTTTGGGAGTCGCCCTTCGCGGACCTCCCAGCGCCATCCAATACCTGGGAAGTGGAGAGGGAGCAGCTTTGTTTCAACAGGCGCATAATGTTCCGGGGAGAGAGTCCGTTCGGGAACAGACAGGGAGCTGCAAGGATTAGAGCGGCAAAAATCGGAGACCTGCTCACCATAAAAGAGGACGGGAGTAGAGGCATCAAAGAGGCTAAGACTCTGATGGAGGAGTTTGGGAGTGTGGCATCAGCAAGATGGGCTAAGAAAGCATACGAAGCAGTCCCGGAGGAATGGAAACTGATGATTGAGAAAAACAAGGTCGGCGGAGATGGTGGTGGCACGCACGCAAGAGTTCCTCTACTGGACGGTGCGAGGAGTTAAAGACGGGGGGGTGGCGACGGATCATATGGACTGCACGGATCGTGCAAACCTCGCAGCGGCCCTACGCGGTCACTTTCCCGGTCAAGAGCGTGGCGCCGGTGGCGGTAAAAGGGGGGAGAGTGCTCGGCGCCATGGGTGAGCCAAGAGCCAAGCTATGTCAAACCTCGCTAGTGGGAGACGACCTGAAGCCGGCCGCACCTAAGGTGATTAGGAGGGTGTTGGCGGGCCCAACAACGGAGTCGAGGCGGAGACACGAGTGGGAGGAGGAGTGGGGAAAGAAAATTGATTGGAAAGCAGTAAGGGAGAGGAGGGACTCCCTTGTAATTCCATACAGGGCACGAGATGTGGTGCTGAGAATGAACAGCAAGAACCTACAGGTGGGGGAAAGGCTGGTTTTCCTGGGGCCCAGAGGTTGCTGTCCGCACTGCGGGGAGCCTGAAACCCTAGTCCACTGCATGCTAACCTGCCCCGTCATTCAGCCAGTGATCGGCGCGCTGCTGAGATCGCTGCGGACCATAGACCCGGCGGATCAGACGAGGTCGCTAGGCGACATGCTGTTCCAAGAGGGAGCCACGAAGTCCGGCTTCCCAAGGGCGACTCTCACAGCAGTGACTATGCGAAGGATTTGGTTGGCTAGGGTGGATGCGGTGTACAAGAAGAGAGGTTCCAGAAGAAGAAGGTGGCCCGGGTGGCTATCTATGAATTAATGCGCCATGCGAGGATCTACAGGGCGGAAAAGTTGAGAAAGGCATCAGCGGGGAAGGTCAGGGGACAGCCACGAGACCCTTGGGGCGGCCTGGCAGGCGACGAAAGGGCAGCGATTGCAAGAATCTGTGAGGCGGGGGAACAGGCCACGTGGAAGGGAGATTTCTTATCCATATGGCAGAACCCCAGGACCTTCCACCGGCCACCGTAGAGACGGGCAGGGGGGAGGCACCTGAACTCCGGTTTAAGGTCTGTCAGTTCCCTCCAGAATCCAGTTACGACTGCGAATGTATTTGCATGATTATTATGCAAACTCGTTCTAACAAAAAAAAATATTGCCGACAAATTGTAAATATACACCACTGTTGACCATGTGTAGTTCACTTGTTAGGCCACACAGCTCGGGAAAATATGCCACACGTAATCAACAAGGGTCTCGATAATTTGTTTGGTAAAAAACAAAACGGGTACGGTCAAAGGAAAGAGTGTTTTCACGTGTTTGATAAAGCGTTTCACGGAATCAGTCACAATCAATTGGGGAAAAAAAAACGCGAATAATCACAGATGAAACTCCAGCCCAAAAAAGATAATACCCAAAACGAACATGGATGCATTTTCGGATGAATCAACCCTAAACACAATTCGCCAGGTGTTTAGGGTTGATCCGTTCCCAAACTGCATCCAATTCCGATTGGGTTTTAGTTTTTTTTAGAAGTTAGATGATTGGTTGGACGCGAGCGGGAATATTGTAGAGTTTCAAGAATTTTTTGGCGGGAGTTACATGTGTGACCATTCGCGTGATTTTTCAACTGTTGTTAGTGACTGAATCCGTGACCCGATACAGTGACCGTACGCGTTTTTTTTTTACCATTCACGTTATCGGGTCCCATGTTCGTTACGTTTGGCATATTTTCCCACACAGCTCTCATGAGCTGAGGTCGCCTTCCTGAGATGGGGCCCCATCGAAGTGCATCCCCATTGGTCCAGCGTGGCAGAATTCGATATTGTCCCAACCACCACAAGTGCCATGCGACGGGAGTTGATTGGGGCGAAGAACAAGATATGGTGCAACCACTCACATGCGTCTGCATCGACGTTCATGCGACAATTTTCAACGGCCACATGCTCCCATAAGACGGTCGAAGACAACACTGGGAGGGAATCGATAAACCTTTAGGGCTCACACTGGGGGGGAATCGTTGCATTTTGCTATTTGCATCTAGCTAGACGGCCTCAGCTCCCAACTCATGCGACGTCCACATTCTCCCCCCCTTTGCTACCGGACACGTGCTCTGGGCACTGTTGTTGGGGGAACATCGAATGGGGCCCCATCTCATGAAGGCGATCTAACCGGCTTGTGGGAGGACAGTGTCATTGACCACTTGCACTAAGCAATAAATTCCAGGTAGGACCTGTGCGGGTGACCAGCGGAGAGCCAGGGAGTAACGAACGAACGTCGTTGGATACACTGCTCAGTTCGGTTCAGTTACGGCAAGAGGACAAGGTGGCTTGGCATCCAAGGGACCGCCCCACGACGACATGACATGATTGAAGCAGGAGGATGGCGGGCAGCTGGCACGGAACAATCTCACAGGAGGTTGTGCTCTGTACACTGAATGCCCTACTTCATTCGTTTCAGAAGAGTTTGAGACGTAGAACATACGTCCCATTTCCATCTCACAACTCACGAAGGCTCCCAGCTTAAAATTGTCACAGTCACCAGACGCGACATGCAAAAACAACAATACGTACAAAGAAGACACGTCAAAAACACACAAAAGAGCTCTCAATCATGTATTTGCAATGTTTGACCATATTATCACGCACTCATTCTTCTTCATAGTGATTGACAAATACGATTGAACTTTGTTATTTAACTTTGTTTTGCCCAAATGCACAATATAAAATCAACATGAATACAATATTACTAAAAAATTTTAAATTTTAAGACTTTATGATGGGCAAGGTTCCGGATATGTGCTACAAGGTCACTAATGGATATGATTAAATACATATATTATATATATACATACATATATGTATATATATCATCAAACATGGCCGTCTATCAATGCAATGAATGAATTGTTGCTCTAACTTTTTTTTAAAGAAACCACGAAAAGCTTTAAGTAGCAACTGCCATAACAATAATGCGATGAGCTGCGTATGAGAAAAACGAAATGACGAGAAGAGCGGAGGGAAGACGGAGGAGGGGGGAAGGGAGGGGGGGGGGTGTGGGAGAGAGGGAGGGGGCGAGGGGAAGGGAGGGGGGGGGGTATTTATGCGGAGATTCACTTGACAAAGGTACTGAGCTAGACTACGGAGGTTGGCACGAACTACTAGGAATGATCATAGCTTTGCCTAGTTCCCTAGTGCTTGCACAATCACGGGAGAAGTTGGAAAGAGTTTCACTAGCAAAGTTTAAATTCCAGAATTGATCAAGTCCACAATCACAAGGATGACTACATCAGACACCTAGCAACTCTGCAGCTAGCCTAGTCGACCGCCAGCACAGCTTGGTCGATCTCCTGCCAGCGTTGCGTAGAGGAGCCGCGCCAGCACCACGTAAAGGCGACCTGTCAACTGAGCAGGTTAACGGCTAGCCAACGCTGCAGCAGAGCGGCTGTCTAGCGTTGCCCCGTAGAACACAGCAATGTGCACGCTCGCAAGTGCGCGCAGACGTTTGGCCCGACTTGCCTCCTTGGGCATCCGTCGGGTGTTGTCTGCGCCTGACGAACCACATCGACTTTGGGATACCATCCCAAAGTCGCCTTCGCCATCGCGACCTCGACGACGTTCGCGTGCCTCCGCAAAACTCGTCGAGCAGGTTACCCGGTCGCCCTGGTCAACCACCAGGTGCTTCCGGCCGACCACCACTGCCTTTGGTCAACCACCAGGTGCCTCTAGTCGACCACCAGGTGCCTCTGGTCGGCCACAGCTCCTGTCAAGCTACCCCTTGGTCAACGGACCCCTTCTGTCAACCGGAACTATCAGCGGTTGTTGTCGAGCTCCCCCCGTCGACCGCTGCTCAATAGTCAGGTCGACGAACTGCTTCGTCGACCTCCTGGTCGAAATGCAGGTCGACGGACTGCTCCGTCGACCTCTCGGTTGAGCTGCAGGTCGACGGACTGCTTCGTCGACCTCCCGGTCGAACTGCCCCTCCTGGTCGACGGCCCACCCGTCGCCCAGACCAGTCAGTTGCAGTTGCCAAGCTCCCTGGTCGACAGGAACACCACAGCGGTCCCCTGCAGCTCGACGAAACGTGTCGAGCATCTCTCGCATTATGAATGGTCGGCTGCTACTCTCGTACATCCGACCAAGTCTTCAGCGTTGCCTAAGCGAGGGCGGGGCCAACAC